TAAATTCCTGCCTAAAATCGCATAAGTCTTCATACGTTGAAGGTAGTTCAATTACACAGCCACATGCATGAAAAATAGGCCTTCTCCCTGCTCCAGCGAGTGATGTAAATGTGACTTTAATACCTTCAACAATGACAACATCAAAATCAGTACAAAGTCTGAGAAATTTACGTAACAAAGAATCATCTAATCCTTTAACATATCTCTTCAAATGCGACATACTTTCTGATTCTGCTGAGCTTTCTGGATTTGCAATAAACATTCTACAAATCTTTGCTGATGTAGGTTTCAACTTTGAGAAATGCATTTCCAAAGTATCAACTGTTGGAAAAAACATCTTAATCTTTGAAAGGATAGTTTCCCAACAATCTGCAACATATTTTGGCTTCTGAACAAGCTCTTTATGAGCCAATTCAATCAAAATATCAGATAGATTCTCTTCTTTGACAACCTTTCTGCAGTCGAAGGCTGTAAGGAAATCTTTAAAATCATCATCATCCAAGGATAATCCTTGCGAAAGTGCTTTCTCAATAACTTCAGCCTCTGCCCTTGAGATGTACCTTTTAAAGGATTCCAAATACATCTCTCTACAAATAGCATTTTCACCAAAAGAAGAGACACAATGAATACTTGAGATATTTGGACAGGAAAATAATTCGCTTGAAGATATCCTTTGAGAAAATGCGAGCAACAGCTTCCCAAAGGCTTCTGTTCATATCATGTCGTATGCACGGAACTCTTTCATCTTCTCCTAACATCAAGCTAATGTATGCGTCCTGCCAGAAAAGGGAAAGAGCATCACGAAAAACTCCATCACCATCACCTTTCTCTTCATTACCATGATCATTGACCATCTTTACAACTACAAACTTATTCAAGATGCCCTCATCAAGAAATATCAACATAAGCTCCTTTCTAAGATTGGATCTGTGAAGTGTGATGGTTGTCGATTCTTGTATAGCATCTGTCGATTCTTGTGCTGCATATGACACAGGAAGGTTGGATGTAGAAATGACTTCAGGAGTAGCAAGTACTTGTGGTGCTGTATCAGACTGAATATCAACAGATGCAACAAACTCACCATCACTCACCAAAAATTCTGAAATTGGGGAAACATATAGTCAAAAAATAGAATATAGTAGTACCTAGGCATACCTAAATATGTATGCTACCTTCAAATGGTGTTTGATAATTCTCAGAGGAAGAGCTCTTAATAGTTGGTGTTGTGACTGGTGTTGACAATTCCTCCTGATAATTGTTGTCATTAGCACCACTTGTATCTAATTTTTAAAGAAAATATATTTTTATATGTGCACCCAAATTTTAGCACCATAGTAATAAAATAAATAATAGCGTGAGTTTTAACTTACAGACATTCATTGTAGTTTGAATAAGGCTTTCACCATCAGAGTCAGAAGAACTACAATCTAACTCAAACGCAGCATGCTTTTCCAATAAACGAACATACACAGCACCTTGTCCAGAGACTTTCAGCAAATCATCTGCATTTATTGAACATCCATTAGCAAACTTGGGTTTGACAAGTTCTCCATAACATGCCTGTAAAAAGTATGGGAGAAACAAAAGTTTTGATAAAAATTATTGTGTAACATAAGAATCAATCACCAATTAGCATTCACAGCTTAAGCACCTTGCCAAGACCTTGAAACATCTTTCCTAAGTCTTGTCAAGATGAATCATGATCTTGGCAGGATCATACAAGGTGTTAACAAAATGAGCCATGATCCCATAAATAAAATTTTAAGATTTTGGTGTGTAAAACTTTCACAACATTGGAGATACAGACTGGTCATGCAGGGGTTTGCCCATTTCATACCTATGTAATAAAAGCATGTGGGGGGGTGCATGATAAATGCTTACATTTGCATATATAATAGGAAGGGGGTGTTAATCTGCTATTATGTACAAATAGCAATCTAATTTTGGTTTCCTAAATAAAAACACAATTTTCACATATTTTAAAAGTTATGCAGGTCAATAATTTATACATACTAGCTAAGATTACAGAAATCAGAGAGCTTAGCATCAAATGAACATTGGTTTTAAAAATAAATGCTGACTTTCACCCGAGGTTTAAGACTATTAAATTAGCAAACTTGAAGAAAAAAACTACCATTGTGTACAAACAAGAAGAGGGATGTTTAAAATTTGAACAAGTTTAAATAAGTTAGTACTAAGTGGATACAGGACAACCCCTTGGCTATTGAGTCAAGATATGCTGGATTCCAAACAACCTTACCTTCATATACTCAAAAAGCACATGACGTCTTGGTAGTTGTAGCTCAATGTTGCATTTTAAGGTGGCAGCATCCCAAGATCGGTCAAAGGGAAAACCTGACACGATAAGTCTATTTTTTTCAAGTGCTACACAAGCCTTATGTGTTGGGACCTTTGTCGTTTCAGGATTGGGAATGATCACTAAATCTCTATCGACAATATTAGATGCACTAGGTCTTCCTCTTTTGGTTGTTGTTCTAGTAGTCCACGCTCTTTTCTTGTTTTGTCTATTTGAATCGCTATGTTTGCCTTGAACAGAAATTCCAGATCCGGATGCCGATGGCGATGGGCGATAGCTTGGAAACCTTTGCGCCAATTCAGCACGGATAGACGTTAGATTCTCTGCTTCTGCATCTGAAGTATTAGACGTAGTTGCAGCAATCCGTTGAACATCTTCGCTGGTTATACTTTGAATTGAACGGAGAGCAATAGCAGCCTGTTCACAAGCAGCTGCAAGACTTTGTCGTTTGTCGGCCATGATGTTTTGGTTCGACGCGCGCGCGCAGCATTATGAATTTAATTAGGACATTTTAAAATCAGATTAGAATATTTTAAATTCAACAACAGAATAATGGTCTCCAGCATTGGAATAAATGTAAATGCAGCTATATGGAATAAATGTAAATCGAGGATGAGAATAAATGTAAATAGAGCAAGATTTTTAAATATTTGCCAATATATGTAATCAAAGTTTGCACGACGTAATTTATACAAGCGAATATTCCTTTTAACGCAATAAAGAAATGCTTGGCGCGTCATAGAAGAATGGCGCGCCATGGCTCGTCATCAACTGTCGAACACACATATATAAATAGCCTCGATCCTCATCTCAACCTAAAGTGTTTACTTGTAAGACATTTGAGACAAGACAAGATGGTGAGCTTTATTTGTGCATTGGTGGCGATTACCTGCATCGTTGTTAATATTCAAGGGTAAGCTATGGCTTAGGGCAAAGAAGAACTTGGGAATGTTTAATGTGGTCATTGAACGCTATGAAGACTATATTAGAAACGTCTCTAAGGCGTATTTCTTTTTAAATTTGAATAATCTTTTTGCACAAGTTGTCGAGTTGTAGTTAATATTCAGTGCTGGGGCAGTATACAAACATGATCAAAGCTTTGCAAGTTACGATACCATAAACTAAGGATTTTTTAAATTAGCTCAAGCAAAGTGGTTTTTTTGTTCAAAATGTGTATGGGAGGAGTAAGACTTTTATATGCATTACAAATTTTTAGTAAGTTGTTAGCTATATCATGTATGTATTTAATATAAGTCTGCCTCAATTTCTTGTTCATATTGTGAAATATTTCATCTGAAAACTTTTCCATGACTCACTTTACTGTTCTTACTTTTGCAGAGTGAGATTAACAAACGAAGAGGAAGATTATTTAAAAGATTTCTACTCAACATTCAGCCATTACATGAAACGCACCATGAAATCCTGTCAAAACAATGCAACTTTGAAAACACAAATTGCAGTAATAGACGGACAAATAAAAACACTTCAAACATATCACAAAAAATCTACAGACGGAGAAAAAGTTATCTACAAACATTTAAGTTAATTCTTAAACACAAAATCAATAGGACAAAAGTACAAAAATATACACTAGTGAAACTACAACAAAAAATTAAGAAAGTCGAATTGAAAATGATTAATCTTTATATGTTTGTAAATGATGATCGTCCAGGTTAATAAAGTCCTGAGAAGGACTGTTTTTGTTGTTGTTGACTGACGTTTCGACAACCATAGCGGTAGTCATCTTCAGAGTCAAATGAGGAGTAAACGTCAGGTTAGCCGTATTTGTTATCTGGTTATTACGTCATTGTATTGTGTGTACAGGAAATGTGTATTGTCATTGTGGATTAGTATGAAGTGAAATATTTTATTTTTAGTTGTGATGTGTGATTTAGGTGTGACGTTTTTAGTTGTAATGTTTGAGTGTCAGTTGTGTATTGTCATTGTGAATTAGTTTGAAGTGTAATGTTTTTAGTTGATCATTTGTTTGTATTGTGAATAAGTCGTTTGTAAGGTGCCGGTAATTGCTGTGATCTGTTCAAGGGGGTTTGTGCCAAGTTGGTATACCAACTTTCTTATGTAAGCCGTTGTCTATAGTCGGTACTGTAAGTGATGCATTTTGCCGAGTCCAAGTCAATGTTGTGTTTTGTGATTCGGTGATGTTCGGCAATTCCTCATTTGATTCTGAAGATGACTACCGCTAAGGTTGTCGAAACGTCAGTCAACAACAACAAAAACAGTCCTTCTCAGGACTTTATTCACCTGGACGATCATCATTTACAAACATATAACGATACTCCCGGGTTCAAACCATTTACTTTATTAATGATTGATCTGTCGTCACAAATGAAAAAACTTGATGCATAAAGGGCAACATTACAAACGGAGTTGAAAAGTCTTGAAAAACAAATGAAAACACTTTACCTGGAAATTGAAAAACTTACAAATATCTCGGAAAAAGGTAAGAATGATTTTAAAAAAAGAAAAGACACTTATAGATTCGAGTAAGGAGTAATATTTGTTCAATTAAAACAATATCTTTCATTTAATTTCTTTGTGTTAGTTAATATTTTTATAACCATCAGGACAAGAATGCGCAGATCTTTACAGAAAAAGTATAAGACACAAAGGAATATACAAAATAGGTCCTGATGGTAAAGGATACTTTAAGGTCTTCTGTGACATGAAGTCATCGGGTGGTGGTTGGACTGTAATTCAAAGACATATAAAAAATGGAAATACAGACTTTTATCTGGTTTTGGCGGAGTATAAACGTGGCTTTGGTAATCTTGAATCCGAATTCTGGCTTGGATTGGACAAGATACATCGACTAACATCTACGAAGAAAAATAAACTTCGAATTGATCTAGTAAACACGTCAGGCACTAAAAAATACGCTGAATATGAAGATTTTGTTGTTAAGAATGAAAATTCTAAGTATCAATTAAGTATTGGAAATTACACAGGTAAGAAAATATTGAAGAAAATGAGTGTTTGTGATAGCAAATTGCGTTGACAGATTGTACCTTAGGGCCAGTTTATATGAGACGGGCCAGCCCGCTTATGCCGGCTAGGTAGCTTTGCCGAGATGTCGCCTTGTATATTCTTTTACAATTTTTTTGAAATTGTGTTCATATGAAGAGCAGGCCAGCCCAGCTTAACAAGATCCGCTTGAAGGAAGCGAGATCTCGCTTCTAACGGGCTCATATAACTGCATCAAGCGGGCCAGCTCGGCTGAACTGGGCTGGAAGCGATGAGACTGCGCATGCTCTTGTCTTATTTGGTTACTTAAATATAGCAAAATTTTCAAAACAATAATGTGCAATTGAAAATAAGTTTGAAAATTCCATGTTATACCACTACAATAGTCGGTGGAACTCACTGGTAGCAATCAGATTGTTGAATGTCTGAGTCTAAACTTAATTTAATTTTCCAAAACAAAATACATTATTTGTTGGCAGAAATTAAATACACATTTAAGCTTAGCCAGCCCGCCTCATATGAATGCAAATACAAATTTGCCAAGCAAACTAGATAGCCTGGGTTAAGCGGACTGGCCCGTCCCATATGAACAAACCCAAAAGAGTAAAGAAATGTATCGTCTGAATTGTCAACCGCAAGAAAGACAATATACAATGCATTCGACTTTACATTTAGACAATATACAATGCATAATTATCTGAATATTATCTATAAGCACATCTCGTATTTTTACGGCCCGTCTAAAACGTTGCATTTTACATGTGTCGAACGCATTTAAAAGAAAAGAAAATGCGATAAAATTAATCATCTATGCATTCGGCTCATGTAAATGCAACATTTGAAATAGGCCTAAGCACTTTTGCTTGCCTTTGCTTTTGTTTTTCCTATGTGCAATCCCGAAAGAGTATAGCAAAAAAAGAGCAGTTTATTTGTAATTTTTAATAATATGAAAAGATGTTTTCTTGCAAAGCATGCAAAAATAAAAGCCTGCAGCAAGAAATTTATAAAATAAGAAATGTATAATTCGTCCTCTGTTTGGTCGATGCGTGTGCTTGAATCAGGCAATATAAAGACGGAAATTTAAATTGCTGTGCGTTAATTTTAAACATGTCTGAGAATGAAGATCATTTATTGTTACTTCATATAACAACTTCTTTTGAAGTGTTGAATCGCCATATCTAAAGACTTGGGAATGTTCTTTAGTAAAAAACCCTGTGTAAATAACTCACAATGCTTTTTTTTACTCTCTTTCTGTTCCTGTGTGTTTGAATCAAGCCAACAACGAAAAAAACTGTTTAGCAAATACTCTTAATATAATATATATGCATCATTAAATGCATGGAATGTTGCGTATAAAGTTTATTGTGAATAATGACAGAATGATCTGAACAGTTTCTTGTACGTTTTTAAAATACAAATCACCAGAAAACTATAGAACTATTTCTACTTTTCAGGAACTGCTGGGGATGCATTATCCTATCACAATAACATGAAGTTTTCAACCAAAGATTCAGATAATGATAAAAGTGGTTGTGGAAATTGCGCTACTTCCTACACAGGTGCTTGGTGGTATAATGCATGTGATCACTCTAACCTAAATGGTAAAAATCTTGGTTGGCTTAATTTTTATAACGTGAAAACCAGTGAAATGAAAATCAAACCATGAAGAATTCATAAATATTTATGATTTCATGACAATGATCAATATCAATGTCAATACGTCATGTAATATGTCTTAAGCATTTACGCTCGTTGTTTACTACGAGAAAATGTGCAAAAAATTGTCATAGCTAGAAGTCAAAAAAACTGTAATCATTTCATGAAATAATGAAAAATATTGTTTCAATCAACGATATTGATGAAATATTAGTTTCTAACAAAGCTCGAATTCCATATTAAATATCAGTAACATAATCCGGTGTTAATGTTAGACAATACATCATTGCCCTTCAGTGAAAGCATCCCGCTTTCCACTGGAAAAGAATGAATCTAATATCGATGTTAAACATAGATTGTTACATGCATCCCGCTTGCCGATATGTATAAGTATAATCACAAGGTCTATAAGTATAATCAGATCAGGATTAGATAATATGTTATGAAGTAGGATGTAGAGATACATAAAAGATCTTATATAGTTTTGTTTTAAATGACTCTTTCATTCAAAAGCACTTTCCTTTCATATTTATCATTGAAATTCGCTTCGCTTCCCGCCTAGAATCATACTTGGTTATTAATTTGAATTATTGTATTTTTCAGAAAACTAATGTCAAGAGTAGTGTACAAGGCTTCACGTTACTCTGAAGATGACTGCCGCTAAGGTTGTCGAAACGTCAGTCAACATCAGCATCAAAACTCCTTCTCAGGACTCTACTAACCTGGACGATCTACATCTACAAACATCTAAGAAAATTTATATGATGTTGCACATGACGTATTTCATTAAACCAAATTACCGCTGGTCTCAATTGACTAATGAAGGCGCGGCTATCTAGTCTTTCTCTCTTTCTTTACCACGTAGAAGTTATTGTAAGATTTATATAGTTTGTTTTAAATCCTTTTATATCTTCATTGCTTTGAAACATCGTTCTTATAGACCTCTCTTATATGTCAATGTAATACCTTTTTTACTCAATTCGTGTCATATTTCTCTCTTTAATATTATACTTAACTAGCTTTTGTATTTTATGGTATACGACTCGGTTGAAAAAGACTCGAAAGCTTCGAGGACACGTTAGCCATGGTCATGGTGTAGGTAAGTATTGAATGGTTGTTGAAAACTTTCAAATGCATATTTTCGCAGCAATTTGTTTGCATAAAGCTTTAAGCTAGACGAGAAATGAATTTAGATCGGTTGATTATGTGCTGTTATTAATTTTCCCTGTGAAAGATTTACCTACCACCCACTGCAAAGGTAGAATTGCTTACGAAAATGGGAATAAGCGAGTTCTAAATTTTATTAATGTAATTCAACAACATTACAAACAATATATATTTTATTTATGTTCCAGTGAAATGTTGTAGATTGTGAAAATGTTATTGACTTGGCACATTTTCGCTTTATTTTTGTCTCGCGGCTGGTCTAGATTTAAATGTGTTGAAGATAATAAATTTTGATGGTCTTTAAAATATCAGAATAAACTGTAACTACTATTTAATAACTCTGAGGAGGATTATGGTGGGCAGTATTCATTAATTCTTGACATGTTTAAGAAATTGTTTTGACATCTTAACTTGGACCATACATAAACCATGGTGTAAGACCAGCTGTTGAAATCACTTAAATACATTAACTATGGATTTATTTTTTCTCCAAAACCAGGCGTAATGTTTTTGCACAATTCTAGTCTTGAACACCAAGGTCCTTCTAAAATGATCAGAAAAGATAGAATGTGTTCAAAACTTTTAATTGTCATTCTTTATATGAATGTGCGGCCTGATACTACATGCTGTCTTATATATGTTTGCTATTTTTTACGTAAACAATAGTACTCATACAAGGTTTTAATGCCATTTCTAATCAAACAATGTGGAAACTCAAAATCTGTCCATTGAGAGTTGTAATTATCCCAGAAGATGAGATGTGAGGGAGATTCCAAACATTTAAATCCATGATCAACTGATTGCTTATAAGTAATTTACCTTGACGTCAAACTCTTGTCAACCAATTCACTGAGGTTACATAATTTACCATGATACTATTTACGATGAAGGTAGACTCATTATTAGGTCTGGGTTGAATCCAAATCTTTTGTACGTTGAAATATATATCTAAAAATCAAAATACTTTATGAAATGTCTTATTAGCAAAACTATGGCAAAAAAATTTTCCTTCAAAATTTTCTATCATTTTGACGTTGTATTTGTATTTTGAATTAAAAACTAGCTGTTGTAATGTATTCAGACATACCATGGATTTGCTATGGGACACATCAAATCTAGGACTAGGTTTTTGTTTTATAATAAATTATTTACCATATGGACACATTAACTAAGGATTTTTATAAAATAAACCCAATAAAGTGTGTGGTCAAAGCCTTGTTTCCATTATCCTGTGCAAACTGATCTGAGCTCAATCAATCAAAAGGAATTACCTAATCAATCATGAATACATTTTAGAGCAAAATTAAAACGTTTGTTTAAAATTTTTCTGTTGCATTATTGTTGTTTTATAAAAGAAATAAAAATCTTTTTTCATGTTTACACTGGCTTATGCAAACCTCAGAGACGTTTGTTAGAAATCGCAACATTCAGTCTTGACCTTGCACTGATATGCTCTCAAGTTCTCCTAAAGATCTCCTCAGTTTGCACAAGCCTGTGCATAGATATTGTGTATCATAAATTTCTTTACATGTTTGTAGATGTAGATTGTCCAGGTTGGTATAGTCCTGAGAAGGACTGTTTTTGTTGTTGTTGACTGACGTTTTGACAACCTTAGCTGTAGTCATCTTCAGAGTCAACAACAACAAAAACAGTCCTTCTCAGGACTCTACCAACCTGGACGATCTACATCTACAAACATGTAACGATACTCCCAGGTTCAAACCATTTACTTTATAGATATCTTTATGTATCAGATGTTTGTACATTTCCATACATGTTGCTTACATATTTAGTCAATAGAAATTTCAAATGTCAACAATCAGTCAAACTATATGTCGACATTGTAAAAATTCATTTTATTTTTTGTGTAAGGAAAACATCGTAAACATCCTGGTGGTCGTGGTAACGCTGGTGGTTTAACTCATAATAGAATTAACTTTGATAAGTAGTATGTGGAAGTTTTGGTAAAAGATCATTTACTTACAAGCCATTAAAAGTGTCTATGTACCCCCTACAAGCCATTAAAAGGGTCTATGTCCCGCCCTACAAGCCATTAAAAGTGTCTATGTCCCCCCCTCAAAAAAAAACAATGTATTTAGATAGAGTGGGTGATTTTAAGATCATTTGCAATGCACTTTATCGGACAAAAATTTGATCTTTCTTGAATTTTTTCGGCCTCAAAGTTGACCGTGAGATGCTGAGACTGGGTCTAGTTCACTGAACGTGACGTACATTGGTGAACATGCTGCTTTTGAACGCTATAGAACTATAGTTTTAATTCAATAGCAAAGTGCGCGATTTGATCATTTATGAAATTTTCATTTCATTTTTCGCTAAGACCGATGTCGTCCAGTGTTTCCGTCATCAATTTACATAGTCAGGTTTGTTAGACTTTCTTTCTATTGGATTATATTATGGAGGTTGAAGGCAGTTCTGTTCAATAACGCGCATCTCAATCACTAAAAAATTCGCTCAATACAAGTGTAATACAAATAAATTCCCTCGACTTCGCTACAAATGTCAATATAAAATATAGGGTTAAAAACGGCGTGTTCTCCATTGTTCGTCACGTGTGGTGAACTAGACCCAGTCAGTCACAGCACCTCACGGTCAAATACGAAAAAGCCAACTTTGAGGCCCATAAAGTCGAGAAAGATCAAATTTTTGTCTTATGATACATTTTGAATAGTTTGTCAGCTCTTGATTGTCTCTTTAATGTGCATAAATCAGGGTCAGGGAAAGAAATATTTTATTTCAGTGGGGGAAATTGCGTCCGAAGAGATGTGTTTTTTAAAATGTTTTCCTTGATTATTGACTCAATCGATGTCGTCGAATTTTTACAAATCTTAATTAATATTGTAGTTTTTTAAGAAGATTTGTTATAACGGCTTTATTCCTAACTATAAGTCTGTATAATGAATGCTATACCGTCAATGCACGTGTTCTACTTTGTACGTCATTTCCCGCCTTTGGTCATCTATGCAAAAAGTCCCAAGATGACAAAATTTTCGACCTAAAAAATATAATACAAGTGTTCTTGAAATCGATTTATTTACACTACTTCTTTCCCTCATCCTGATACGTATACAGGCATTTTTATACGCGAGCTGTATTTCTCAATAATATCTTTCTTGTTTGTCTTCAGAATTTTGTAATCTTGTTTTTCAATGTTTTTAGCCATCCGGGTTATTTTGGCAAAGTTGGAATGCGATATTTTCATTTGACAAGGAATAAATATCATTGTCCTACTATCAACCTGGACAAAATCTGGTCATTGATTAGTGAGCAAACAAGGGAATATTACAAAGACAAGAAAGATGGTCCCGCACCTGTTATTGATGTTGTCAGAGCTGTAAGTATTAACGGTTTTGTTCTTGATGATTAGCAAAGAACAAATTGTTTATTTCATTGGTCTATTTGGCGTCTTATCCCAACACAATAATTTGTCTTAAAAGAAATTGTAGAAATGGGTAAACACAATATGAAATAACTTAAATGCTGTATTATATACAGCACCGAATTTACTGAACTCATTTTCATATTTCTAAATCTGTGAGGCTTGAGCACCAGTGAATTGCAAATGATAAAATTGCTGATTGTATAGCAGATTCATGATGCATAATGTTCATCATTATATTTATAAAATAAAAACAGTAAAACGCGTGCAGTGATTGGTCTAGATCTGTTTTTTAGCCTGTGCAGGACACATCTGAGCTCAATCAATGAAAACAATCAATCAGTCAGAGATTTGCAAATCGATCACGAATACATTTTAGAGGAAAAATTAAAATGTTTGTCTTTCGCATTATTTTATAAAAGGAATAAAAGAAGTTTTTCGTGTTTGCACTGGCTTATGCAAACCTTGGAGACGTTTGTAAGAACCCTCGAGCACGTGCAAACCTTGACCTTCGGTCTCGAGCTTGCACTGATAAACTCTCGAGCTCTCCCAAAGGTCTCCTCGGTTTGCATAAGCCTGTGCAAACACAGTAAACATCTTTTATTTCTTAAATGTAAAAACATTGTTACACGACTGTTTCCCATTTAACTGTTTTGTTTAGATGTTCCTCAACCAATTTATGTTCAAAATTCATTGTGTTATACTTCTGTGGAATTTTTTATTTGAAGTTTTATAAACATATTATTCGGAAAAATTTTGTTGTTTATAATTATTTTATTTCTAGGGCTATTTCAAAGTACTTGGAAAAGGTCTACTGCCCAATCAACCAGTAATTGTTAAAGCGAAATTTTTCAGCCGCAAGGCAGAAGAAAAAATTAAAGAAGTTGGCGGAGCCTGTATTCTGGTGGCGTGATTAAATAAATTATTCATTACAACTTTTGTCTTTGTTTTTATTTAATGCGAATCGTGTAGAGCGCATTTTCTGCTTGTGTTTGACGTAATTTGCATTAAAATATCAATTTTAAAAAAAGGTTAAGCGAATGAAAGCTGAGTCGTGTCCAAAGGAATGCATTGTTAAATGCCTTTTTTCCACATAACATAAAAGTTTCTGCATTTTTTCCCACTTTATCTTCTATGCGAATGGGCTCATAAACGTCACCGTTCATCGCTTCGCTTTTTAGAATTACCATTTATATGTGACATCTTTTAATAAATTCAAACGTGAACTAATCCATCTAAACACGTGACTCTGTACAAAAGCATTATGCAAAAGTCCTTAGCATCTCTACGTTTGTGGTCGTTTTTGTGTCTTACTTTTCCATCATGGTTTTCTTGCCATTGTTTCTGTCAAATGATGGGTGAGATACGATCGTTTTGTTGACTGGGGATATTAAATTTTAGTAGCAGTAAATGAAACATCCCAGTGTGCATGCATAACAACAAAACAACCATACACATTTACAAGAACGATAAAAATTTACAGAAATTCAGTCATATAGCTAAACAGTTTATGGTTGTCTTTATGAATTAAAGAATCTCGTAATGCATCAAAGAGTTGACATAGAGGCTTTACCATATGTTGACGAAAAGCGTCAGAAAAGAAGTAACGATACGCATGCGCATTAACTTTATATCAGCACTACCCATTTGCTCGCTTTGCGACCTGCAGTAACCTTGTTAATATCAGACAGATGAGTGTAGGAGAAACAGAGCGTAACATGCAGCAGAGGAATATATAATAGTTTTGGAGAGAAATGGTTTGCCGACCTATCGTCCTACAACTAAAAACTACTCCTGAACCGCTATACTTTCCTTTCGCTATTGGGTGTCCTTTTCGCGCTTAATATTGCCATGTGACTAATAAACAATAAATTATGTAACACTACGAATTTGCCAGAAAAAAGTGAAAGTTATTAAGTTATCGCAATGAAAGTAAGCGATGTTTAGTTTTTTAGTTTGCAAGTTTTAGTCCAGCTTTGTGAATTTCAACTTATTCATGTCTTAAAAAATCCATCGTTTTTGCAGTGAGTGAACATAGAAACTTTGACAGCAGGACCAACAGGGGCATGCTGGCGATATTGACTGTAAATAAAACGATAGTTTCGTTTTGTACATAGACCATATTGAAAATGAATGTATTTTGTATTCATTATTTCTAATACGTACGATATCTTGAAAAAACCTCATATGACTCCTAATTATTCTATGTCTTATTGAAACAATTTCCTTCAATGTACGTGGAAAGTTTATGAGCTGGAATTTTTACACTTGCTAAAATTGATGAGATGATAAAGTTGTATTTAAAGTAATTTTCATACTGGAGACAGCCTGGGAGAATTATCGCCAGTTTAGTTCAATGTTAAGGCTGGAGTAAAGAGTACACAATAGCTTAGCTGCATGCATGCGGCGTAAATTATTTTGTGAATGGTTCAACGGTTCAAACAAATGAATTTGTGATGCATTACACTGCTACAAAAGCATACACACAAAATAGCTATATTTAAAAATGATCTCTATCGAGTACCACGTTTTAAAGCTTCTTTGTAAGTCGAAAATTACTTAAGTCAAATCCGTGCTGAGATCTGAGACAATATATCAAACGAAGAATACAAGTCACTTGTGGGCAAGAATAGTGTTGTGTTGAGTTTTAGGAGTAGAAATATGAAAAGCTAATTTGTAACTTTCTCCTGTTTTATACATCAAAAAACTAAATATTCAAACTACAGGACGCATAACCGACAACAAGTTCCAAGCATATTATCCAATACATCTGCTTGAAGATTGCAGACAAACTGCTATTTTTTAAAAATAGTAAAGTTAATTTTTATTTTGGTGACAACAGGAATCCTTGCCTTCAAGTTCGATTCACATCAAAGCTTGACTATACAATGTAATAGAAGCAAAATTAGTAGTTTTAAACGAAACTTCGAGAATAAAATAACAGCTGTTTAAATTTCAAGCAGAACTTGTAATATTGCAAATTCATTGGACGAAACTTCGAGAATAAAATGGCTACTGTCAAATCTCAAATAATTAAACTCTTTTATCATCAGCTGAAACCACCCTATTCTTCATGAATACTCAACATGAAATTACGTGCATGCATCATCGATAGTTGGCAATAAATTATTAAAATACAGTTGACCCAAATACATAAATGGAGCTTCCATGATCTTGTCCTCACTCCAAGCTTGTGGATAACGATCACATTTAACAAAATGGCAAAATTTACTTGTGCGTTGGTGGTAATTTGTTGTATTCAGGCTCTTGCAATGTTATAGTCTTTGAAAAACTCACTCGTGTATGTTTTTCCCAAATTGCACTCAAAACCATGCTATTACATATACAAAGAGCACTGTAATGGATTCCCTGACAAATCTCTCATTTATAATTTACAGTATATTTCCTAGCAACATCTCCCTTCGACAAACATTTACAAAATCTGCCAAACTTACGGACAAGTATGTTGTAACTTACGGACAACTTACATGCATGGTTTTGTCCACGCTCACACGCGGCATCAATCGGCAGTCTCTGAATTGAAACTCGACTGCATCTTATTCAATAGAGTGATTTAGTAAACTCGACGTTTCGTCTAAGACGTCGTCAAATTTTCGCAAGAGATCTGTGCCTAGGACGCCACGACGTCTTGAAGTATTTATGATTTAGCAAACCTTTTGTAGGACTTTGTCCATTTCGGCATTTTCCTGCTGGATCGTTTTTTCTATCATTTTAAACTAATTTTTTGATAGAAAAATTCCAGCAGTAAATTTGTTTTAAAAAATATATATATATATAAGCAAAATCATCGACATGCGTCTTTTTGAATAAAATTGTTTTGACTCTGAGGAAATCCCCCCAAATTAGATTAGGCTCCGCAATGTTTACTTGTTTGTTTTAGGAAACAAAACATTTGCAGTTTTTATTTTAGATAAATATATGTAGGCCTATATAATATTTTAAGATGCAAATATGAAGGATATATCCTTGTTTCTGTCCAAAAATTGAGTTTGTTTCAGCTGTCGTCGATACGACTCCAAATTGTAGGTTTTCAAGTCGTCGTCGTCAACACGACTGCCGTCGTAGATTGAACCGGATGTAAAAAGCGCATGCCACGCCATTTTCACGACGTCTTTGACGAAACGTCCTGACTGCTAAATCACTGTAATGACCAACTAAGGTAGTCGTCGATCGCCCCTGATGATCGTCAACCGTACTAAATCAGGAATCTTTTCTAATAATGTTGGCACTACGATGCTCGCGTACATCTTTCGTCGGCTTTTAGCTTTTTAAAGTCTTAAAATAGAATCAGTATTGTAAAGTGCCACGTTTTAAAAGTTTCTTTGTCAGAGAAGGATGAATAAATTGCAGATAATAAATTAAAAAGACCATTGTTTAAAAAATAGATTGCATGTTAGCTAAATTGACAAAAGTTTGTTCTGAAAAAAATCGTTTAGCAAGTATTCAATGATTACATGATTGGAATTATTTTAATACGCTAAAGTTTCAATATATTATGTTGACATATTGGTGATGTTAATGCGTTGATTCAGATTTGACATACGTTGATAAAGTGTAACATTATGCTATCTCTAATCAATATTTACTTCTCTTTTCAACTAAAAATCTTTTTGTGTATTTAGAAAAACGATTTGCTGCAATGTCAGCATTAAGTAACTTTATTTGAATACAGAATGGGAGAATAGAGACACTGAAGTCAGTATTGATAATAGAGTGCGTTTGCATTTGACGTCAAAGCGAGCCTGTGTCCACAATTAAATATTTCTTTTTAGCTGTAGCAGAAGCAATCAAATCGTATATGCAAACAGATCTTGTAACCGCCAAAACGAAAAATTGTTTGAAATGAAGTGAATATTTGTTTTTTGTTCAAGTAAAAGTTTTACAAGTTTAATTATAATTTGTGCACAATAAGTTATATATAATTTCTTGACAGAGATAGATTTGCCTTTGAGGTATTGTACGCATTGTTTTGTTCTAAACGTTTTTGCGATCTTTAGATAATACATCTCCCAATTTTACAAATTTTTTATCCACATTTTAACAGCAGTTTCTTTTAACGTATTTATAAGATAATAATTCTGGAGACAGCAGGAGGCAGTATTGCTGATCTGAACACATACACGAATAATCCACATAAAGACAAGAGCCCATGACGAAACGTCACTTGCTATTAATAAATGATATAAAACCGAATGCCTATGGCTGGTTTGAAAACTATCTGCTGGGCTATAATCTTTATGTTGAGAATTGGGTTTCTTTCCTGGCATGTCACTGGCAACAATATTCGCGAATACATTAACTCAACGTATAATTATCTGCTGAAACTAACCAATTATTCATAATAGTCAAACATGAAATTACTCGTTACAATTGATAAGTTGGACAATATAAATTTCAAATGCACATTTGAACTAAGCACATAAATAGAGCTTGAGTATTTTTGTCTACATGCAAAGCCTTTGGACATTGATTACTTTTCATAAGATGGCGAAATTTACTTATGTCTTACTGACGATTAGTTGCATGGCTGTTGTTGTGCAAAGGTAAGCATTAATTGTGCTCGAAGTAGAATTTACCGAATCAATATATAATTAATTTTCTTAAATGCTGTCAAAGAATTTCAGTAGATATTTCATCTCCAAGGCATGCCGTTTTCAAATTTCAAATGAATGTTTTGGTATTGAATCAATAATTCACTATGGAGCTTCAACTTGACATAGTAATATGTGTTTTGAAATTATTAGTGATAAACCCATAATGGTATTGACAGCAATAATTTGGAACGAAAATAAGGCTGTTCCGGGCAAACACAACTTTTGATTACATGGAAATAAACATTTCCTTATTTGATTTATTAAACTACCTTGAAATTTGATAAAGCATTTTTAAAATGATTGAAATTAAAAAAGGATTCCTACGCATACAGGAAACATGGGCGGCAGAAAGGCTGGCTAAGGGGGCTGCTGTCATCCCAATAATTCAGAGGGAGGTTAAGCCCTCCCAATCAAAGAGCTACGTTCATCAATATTTTCCCCGTAATATATGTTTATGTTTCACAAGGGAAAATCATCAACATAGATTGATTCTTAAATGTTGACAGCCATTTTGAAAGCTGGCTCCTCCTATAGACTTTCATTTACTTTAAGTGAGTTAATTATAGGGAAAAAATTGCGCCAAATTTCTTATTAGAACATGGCGTAAATGCAATGGCAATATGGCGCAGTATAAAATAAATAGCGTTTTTAATAGTCTGGACCGAAGCGAAAAAAGCAAAAAATTATATTATTTGTGAGTTCGACTACAACTACAAAGGTAAAATGCCACGCCCTATCAAGATCTTAGTTGTTTTTCACCCCCCAACCCCTCCCCAATGAGAAACATCTTCCGTCGCCACGGCAAGGCAAACATGCCAAAAGAACTGCTAAAGTAACGATGGCTGTCCATATGTTGACAGAGAACTGCAAACGTCTTGACTGTGTTGATTAAAGATTTGATAGTTGATATGGTTGCAAATCCTATGATTAAAGTGCTTGCAGGTTTGACTGTCAAGATTGGTGCTGGTTTTCTTGTTGAGCTGGTTGCAAACTTGCTGTTAGAGATTTTAGGCGTTTCAATAGTTGTGGAAATTACTGGTTCAAATAAACCGACGATTAATAATATTTGCCACAGTTTATTGTTTTTCAATCACAATTTTAGCATTTTTGGCAGCTTGTTTTTTTAACCCGTAGTGAACTGTTAATTTTGTTGAGTAACTAGTCATTGGCTCCTTTCTTTATAGATCAATCATCAAACACTGTTTCATCATTTCTAAAAACATACGAGCAAAATGTCTTCAACGTCGAACTGTTTGACGTCTTTCCTTCTTTAAATTGTTCAAAATTAGCAAGTTATTGTAAATTCTAGAGATAGGATGAGCGATTTGAGCCGTATTTCCTTAATTGAGTTTCATTGGCTTAATGGTTAGGAAACACATGTCTCGAGCTCGAAGTTAGCCCCCTTCTAAACGTCGAACTTTACATGAGCCGAATGCATTGAAGACAAAAAAAAATTAGATTAATTTTCTAACTATCTTTTGTTTTAATGCATTTGGCTCATAAAATGCGACGTTCGAAACAGGCCTTAAATGATTTTTGAAACACAATTAATAAGGCCCGTTCATTACATATAGCTGCTAGAGTGTCCCTCTTATATTAAAATAGAGAAATTTCATGATATGAGTTTTGAATGTCCTATATCGTCATTTCAGCAGAGGAAGTTTGATAAATGAAAAGAAGATGATTTAAATGATGATTTCTCAGCACCCAGCCTCGACATGAAACGCTCCTTGAAATCTAGTCAAAGAAATTCAAAATTGAAGATACAAATTGCAGTACTAAAAGGGCTTTTAAAAAAACTTCAAACATATCAGAAAAGTTTACACACGCAGGACAAATACCTTAAAACTTTTAAGTTAATGCTTCAATCAAAAATCAATAAAACACAAGCACAAACGTCAAAAAAAATAAATTTGAATTACAAATTATCAAACTGTCATTAAAAATAAAAGCACTTGCTGCACATATAGCGCCCATTCAAGCAAAGGTGAAAAATCTTGGCAAACAATTGAAAACTTTTTATCTGGAAAATAGCAAACTCACTGGAAAATCACGAAAAGGTAAGAATGATTAAAAAAAAGACTGGAGAGACATTTAATTATTATTATAAGTAATGCATATTATGGCAGATATAAACAGGTATATTACTTATTTCTGCTAATTTACAATGAAAAGACTGCGCAGATCTCTACAAGAATGGTGAAAACAAGAGCGGAGTTTATCAAATTGATCCTGATGGTCAAGGTAGTTTCAAAGTCTACTGTGACATGACGTCATCTGGTGGTGGTTGGACTGTGTTGCAAAGGAATGAACTTAAAGGCGAAAACTTCTATCGAGACTGGAAAGAGTATAAACAAGGATTTGGTGATCTGAAAGGCGAATTCTGGCTTGGATTAGACAAAATATACCGACTAACGACTGCAAGAAAAAATAAACTTCGTATTGATTTGACAAACAAGTCAGGAATCAAACGATATGCTGCATATGATTATTTTGCTGTAAAGAATGAAGCACATAAATATCAGTTGAGTCTTGGAAATCACTCAGGTATGAAAAAAATTTGACAAAAAAGAGTTAGTTTTAATGATAGTGATTTTAATGACAAGGTGCAGTTTACAAAATAAACTGCTCCGGCTGCCACGCTTCCTATATCGGGAAGACTGGCAGGAACTTAAACATAAGACTTACTGAACACAAACGAGCTACACAGGGACAAGGAAAAAGGAATCCTGTTGCCGAACATCACCGACTGACTAAACACAACATTGACTGAATTTTAGCAAAATTTATTGCTTACAGCCCTGACTATAGACAACGGCTTACATTAGAAAGTTGGTATACCAACTTAGAACAAACCCCCTGAACAGATAACAGCAATTACCGGCACCTTACAAACGACTCAGGTCCCGTCTACACGTATTTGGATTCGTTTTTTATCCGCAAACATTTTGCTCTGGATTCAAAACTTTACGCGTCCACATGTATGCAAATTTGATGCGTTTTTGTGTGTCCACACGTAGCTGCGAGAACGATGCAAATACCAAATTATTGCTTACAGAGCATGCGCTTTTACGAATAATGAGCTGGCTATAAATTATCCGACAAATACTACCGCTTAAAGGTTATCAGAGAAAAAAGTAAGAATGAATGTTTTCGTGGACAGATGATAAAGTGGACCTTTTATTCAGTGTCATTTTCGAATAAAAAATAGCGAAAGTGTTTAATGACACATTTCTGTCAACTGGCATTGAAAGGAGCCGTATCTGATTCATTCGCTTTCATAATTCTTTTGATAATTTCAGACGGCAATAGTCATTTGCATAAACCCAACTATGCTCAAAAATAGCGCAGTAAAAATCGAAAGAAACACTTTAGGCACTATTTTAATCCATAGGATAACGCATGATAAATGTGGATTGGATTAGGGTAGCCGGTAGCGGTGGGTGTGTAGATATTATATCTCATCGAGTTACGTCAGCGTTTTTAAATCATTCCGGTTACAGTGCGTCCAAACGTGTCCGGCTTCGATGCATTTTCAAAATTTTTCACTCTGGAGACCGTTTTCAACAGTTTGCGATCACAATATGCGTTTTCGCTGGATGCGGGTGGACGCTAAGCGTAACCGCAACAAAATGTTTGCGGATACAAACGAATCCGTAAACGTGCGGACGGGGCCTCACTCACAATACAAACAAACAAGCAACAAACACATTACTTTAGACTAATCCACGATAACAATACACAATTGAGACCCACACACTTACACATTTTCTGTACACACAATACGATGACGTAAGAACCAGATAACAAATACGTCTAACCTGACGTTTACACCTCATTTGACTCTGAAAATGACTACCGCTAAGATTGTCGAAACGTCAGTCAACATCAGTACCAACAGTCCTTCTCTGGACTCTACTAACGTAGATGATCTACATCCACAAACATTTGATGATAGTTGTTAGCGTAGACAGATTCTACGTTTGGGGTTCATGTAAAAAGCTATAATTTTGAAACGAATGAAAGCGGTGTAAATTTTAATTTGTGACGTTTCAATGGTTCGTGCATTATGTTCAAGCAATGTTTACATATTTACATGAGAACTTTTAAAAAAGGAATGAACATAAAAAATTTAAAGGTTTTTAAGGTCACGATTGCAACTATTTGCGCTGTAGTTGTGAACTTAACTTAAAAATTAAAGAAATGCATTTACAGATAGGAAAATATCTTGAAACATAAACGACGCACAGACGTAAATTATACATACATATAAATAAGGAACAAAATTCAAGCCGACCAGGTTTCATGCATCCGTACGATTCTTTAAAGCGTTTTCCAATAACCGAGTTCTTTCTAGTTCATCAGTACGTTGGTATGAGTGTCGATATGTGTATCCAATGCGTGTACCATTTCGTCATTTGTTTTCCTCCGAAATTAAAAAAGCATGTCGGCAAAAGCTGAATCCGAAATTCATTTTCGTTTGTCAAGTTATTGTGCATTAGTGAAAAATTTCTTTTTTCATACATATATTCTTGTATTTACTATATTTTTGAAAGCACTCTGTTGGGCTTTGATAAATATTATAAGAATTCACTTTCCACCTGCTATATCCCTTGTCACTATTCTAAGATGGAAATGTCTTGCAATTCAGTGACGATGTGAGTTTAGAGATCAGAGGGCTTTTATAGATCATTAATTTAGGGGAGTTAGGTCACAGAATAAAAATATACTGAAGGGTCACTCGTGTCGCAACTTTTGATGTTTTTGTCTTCACGCATGTTGTTACGCGCATATCGGCTGCCATTATTCCAGCCAGTCGATAAGGATCTTTTACTTTTTCCCAACCTTCATAAAATGATCCGAAGTCATTTCTTAAGTCAAAATATTCTCGAATTCATTTTTCATAAATGACGTCATGTAATTTTACGGAGTTTTAATGGTGAGATACCCTATGATTAACTTGTTGGAAGAGTGGCTGACGTGGGGACGTGTTGCACACGTTAGTGACCCTTGTGCATAATCATTCGTCTGTGGTAGGGTGATAAAAAGAGGATAGTGGAGTCATCAAAGGAAACTCTATGACCTGATGTGTTAGTATGAGATAATATGTTGGATGTAGAAAGTAACAGGCAATTTTTAGTGTAAAGACGAAACGTTTCTTTAAATAAATTCTTATCTGTTATTTAAATGGCTATGCCGAAAGGTACATTAATTTATCAAGAAGCATCTTTGGAGATGGTCTACCAAAGCAGTATTTTCAGTCTGTGGAGAATGGTTTAATCTTTGGAATGTTCGTTTAGACGAATACAAACACTGACCATTTTATAAGTATCATATAGTATCATTCTTTACCACCAGGTGCTAAATGTTATTTCCTATTTATTATTATATCGAGACGAACAAGATATAACCTTGCATATTATTTATTAGTTAGTGCTTATATGCTTCTTTAGCCAAGACTAGTTTGGTTACTTTATCACCATTTGTTTAAAGAGTCACTTTAAGCATTTCATCTATTGTTGCTACTTATGACAAGATATTAGATGTTATAAAGGAAGAAACAATTTGCCGAAGGTTTTGAGATTAACTTGTTTGACATGTGGTTGTCTTTATGGTAGGACGATAACCTTTGAGCGTTATCCTGGATTTTAATAAATATGATGGAATGCTTTATTAGTATTGTTCTAATAATTTGCTTGCATCGCATGCGCTTCGATTTCGAACAAACTGCGGACAAACTTATTTCTCTTATGAATTTATTATGGTTAAACTTTGTAAAATAACAAAAATAAAGGGACATTACTACTTTTTAGGAAATGTTGGAAATTCATTTTCCTGGCATAATGGCATGAAGTTTACGACAAAAGATTCAGATAATGATAAACGTAATAATGCGAACTGTGCTAAACAATATAGAGGTGGTTGGTGGTATAATGATTGTTATAGTGCCTTGCTGTGCAGTAATCGTATATGGTGGAGTAGTTGGGGTGGTTCTATGAAGTTTGGTGAAATGAAAATCAAACCGTAAATGACTCTCTCATAAAATTTTGCGTTCTTGACTTTGATTTCCTTATAATATTTATTACTATTGTAAAATATGTTATGTAGCTTGTCTTAATGCTTTCAAACCTGTCAAAAAAGAATTTATGTTTCTAAAATGTTGTTGAAGTATGAAAATTGCGTGCATCTTATCAAGTAGTAAAAAACGCGTATTTTTGGTTGTTGTGATTAACCTGGCAATAAACTTGCACTGTGTCAATGCTTTATGTCATTTATTCAGGCTATTAAATTTCAGTAAATCCATGTAATATATTTTATAGCAGATAGATTCACAAAATAATTAGTTAGTGACACCTGGGATTGCTCAAACGAAAAATGTTGGTGCATTTAGTCACATTTATCTTCTAAAACTCGACCTTAGCTTCTATGTACAAATGATGTGATACGTTTTCGTTCAAAAATCATAATTACAAAATGTACATGATTATTTTCTTTGCGATCAATGAAATTTGGCTAAACAACATTGGATTCTTCTACAGTAACAGTTTCTGCAAAGATGATAGCTACCAGTTGATTCTACTGCAACCTTTATTCATTACGTAATAATGATGTGATTAATATATTATGTATATACTCTGATGATGGCTTTGGAATAAAGTCGAAACACGGTGCCATCCAGTAAACTGTTAGCGTGGCAAGAATCTCTCGTCCATACGCAGTTTAAAAGAGATTTGACTCGTGTCCAATCCCTGTGGGCTTGGTAGTTCAACAGGTAGAGCGGCGGACTAGTATCCCGAAGGTGCAAGTGAAACATTAACATCATGGACGCAGACTGGTTGCAATATGAATTGTCAGAGAGTAAAGCATGAAAAGGCAAATTGCACATGGGTGTTTACAACTCATACAAGACAAGGAAGATTTATGGCATTGAAAATTTTGCAACTTGTGCAGACTCCTTATTTTTACAAACTAAATCAGACAACAGACAAACAGACTAAAGCGCACCATGAAGAAAATGCATAAAAATGTAGTGATCTTGTTGTCTGGCCAATGAATGTACTGAGGACAGTTTCAATAACAGCATTTTTTTCGGAGGGGGGAGGAATAATTTGTCAGTCCAAGTGTATAAACACATGCAACTTTAATTTACATCAGGTGTTTTTATAATGACTAATTTCCACCGTAGTTACTGGAAGCAATAATAAAATTTATCGAGCAACATTGCATAAAATATTTTTGACCTTTTGAGCTCTGTTAATTTTCAAGAATCCTACAAAAGAAAGTCCTCGGCTATCATGGAAAAGAGAACAGCATAAAATACATCCAATAAAAAAGGAATCAATACCTATAGAAATGTTTCAATACAGAAAAATCTTACATCACGATTCACAAAACGTGAGAAATAAAGGTAACAGTCTACAATTTCCTTAGGATAATGCTTCGAGCAAAATGATTTGTTTATATTTTATCGTTATGCAAGGACAGTTTTCATTGACATAACTATTATTTCATTGTCATACACCACACAAATACGCAAAGTTGGAATGCGATTTTTCATTTAACAAGGAATAAATATCATTGTCCTACTATCAACTTGGACAAAATCTGGTCATTGGTCAGTGAGCAAACTATAGAATACTACAGAGAGAAGAAAGATGGTTTTGCACCTGTTATTGACGTTGTCAGAGCTGTTAGTGTTAAAAATTTTGTTCTTGAGGATTAGCAAAGAACAAATCGTGTATTTCATTGGTCTATTTGGCGTTTTATCCCAACACAATAATTTGTCTTAAAAGAAATTGTAGAAATGGGTAAAGACAATATGAAATAACTTAAATGCTGTATTATATACAGCACCGAATTTACTGAATTCATTTTCATATTTCTAAATCATCGAGGCTTAAGCACCGCCGAATTGCAAATGATAAAATTGCTGATAGTATAGTAGATTCATGATGCATAATGTTTATCATTTTATTTTGTCAAATAAAAACAATGAAACGCGTGCAGTGATTGGTCTAAAGCTGTTTTTGCATTAGCCTGTGCAGAACACATCTGAGCTCAACCAATCAAAACAATCAATCGGTCAAAGAGAATTTGCAAATCGATCTCGAATACATTTTAGAGGAAAAATTAAAATGTTTATCTTTCGCATTGTTTTATTTTATAAAGAAATAAAAGATGTTTTTCGTGTTTGCACTGGCTTATGCAAACCTCGGAGACGTTTGTGAGAACTCTCGAGTATGTGCAAACCTTGACCTTCGGTCTCGGGCTTGCACTGATCAACTCTCGAGTTCTCCCAAAGGTCAAAGGTCTCCTCGGTTTGCATAAGCCTGTGCAAACACAGTAAACATCTTTTATTTCTTAAATGTAAAAACATTGTTACACGACTTTTTCACATTTAACTGTTTAACTGTGATGCTCCTCAACCAATTTATGTTCAAAATTAATTGTGTTATATTTCTGTGGATTTTTTTTATTTGAAGTTTTATAAACATACTATTCGGAAAAATTTTGTTGTTGGTAATTATTTTATTTCTAGGGCTATTTCAAGGTACTTGGAAAAGGCTTACTGCCCAAACAACCAGTAATTATAAAGGCAAAATTTTTCAGCCGCAAGGCAGAAGAAAAAATTAAAGAAGTTGGCGGAGCCGGCATTCTGGTGGCGTGATTTAAATAAATTATTCATTACAACTTTTGTCTTTGTTTTTATTTAGTGCGAATCGTGTAGAGCGCATTTTTTGCTTGTGTTTGTCGTAATTTGCATTAAACTATCAATTTTTAAAGAAAGGGTAAGCGAATGAAAGCTGAGTCGTGTCCAAAGGAATGCATTGTTAAATGCCTTTTTTCCACATAACATAAAAGTTTCTGCATTTCCCCCCCACTTTATCTTCATTGCAAATGAGCTCATAAACATCACTGGCTATCGCTTCTTTTTCAGAATTAGCGTCTAATTTGTGACATTCCTTAATAAATTCAAACGTGAACTAATCCCATCTAAACACGTGACTTGATTTGGTTTCACTCGGTTCGTACAAGAGCATTATACTAAAGTTCCTTAGCATTTCTACGTTTGTCGACGTTTCACGTCTTACTTTTTCATCGTGGTCTTCTTGTCAATGTTTCTGTCAATGATGGCTCAGATCGATCGTTTTGTCGACATTATTTAACTTGCAACTTACGACATTATATAGACACGGTTTTGGGTGATGTTTTAAATATTTAGGTTTTACTTTCCTACAATTTGGCACTTGGAGCAATTTAAACAAAAGCATACAATGTTGATGCAAAATGTTTTCATGTTAATTTGCTAAACACCGCCACTTGAAAAGAAATAAAATTTTAAGAATATCCCTGGTTTATCCCTTCGATCTTTGTTTTATCCCCAGATCCGTGTTTATCCCTCATCCTTGTTTTATCCTCACATCCTCATCCTTGTTTTATCCATCCGTTTTATCACATCCATCCCTCTCATCCTTGTTTTATCCATCCATTCTTCATCCATCCATCCGTTTTATCCTCACATCCATCCCCATCCGTGTTTTATCCATCCATTTATCCTCCATCCTTGTTTTATCCCAGATCCGTTTTCCATCCTTGTTTTATCCTCCATCCGTGTTTTATCTCATCCTTGTTTTATCCATCCTTTATCCCATCCGTGTTTTATCCGTTTATTCTCTCATCCTTGTTTTATCCATCCATTCCCATCCGTGTTTTATCCCCCATCCATTCCATCCATTTATCCCCCATCCGTGTTTTATCCCTCATCCGTGTTTTATCCTCACATCCTTGTTTTATCCCCACATCCGTGTTTTATCCCTCATCCGTGTTTTATCCCCAAATCCGTGTTTTATCCGTGTTTTATTCCCTCATCCTTGTTTTATCCCCTCATCCGTGTTTTATCCGTGTTTTATTCCCTCATCTTTGTTTTATCCCCACATCCGTGTTTTATTCTCTCATCCGTGTTTTATCGCCACATCCGTGGTTATACCGGTCACAAACCCGGTACTGTACAAACTCAACGAAGGTGAGTTGAACGAATATAGTAAGAAAGAATATAGCAAATGGTTTTAGTATGATTGCATGCTATAGTTTAATTCACGCCTTGTACATTTTGTCTCAATTTAAATAATTTTCGTTAATTGCTGCATGTATTATAAGAAAATGAACGAAAGAAGATGACAGGTGTCATTTTATATTATTCATGAAATACTAAACCTAATGATTGAGGAAGCTATAATTCTTCAGGTTGAAGATTTTTCTCAGCTGTAGGTGTTACTTTGTTGTTTTTTCATGATCACTGTGGAGTTTGAAAACCTGTTTATGACCTTATGAGTTATGCCTGCATTTTTGTTAAACACTCTTATACTATATCTTTTTAATGAAATTTTATTCCTCACCATATTTTTTTAAACATAAGTTCTATGTATTTTAAGATCATAAAATTTGAAGAATGACATAATTTTTTCTTTAAAAATGCTTTTCTCTTTTTTAGTGATATATTGCTTTCACGCTTCACCTGTTGTTTGTTATTTGCACTATCATGTACGTCTTAGTTACATTGAAATTTGACGTGTGTATTTTAATAAGCTTATTTATTGTAGTGATGACATCTATTATCGAAACAGCACGTCCTGTAAAAGCTTTTAATTTCAGTCCATGCTTTGAAGTAAAAATATTTTTCGCGCATTAACGCTAACATCATATACCTAAATATCGCTTAAAGAGCCCATTATGATGCTTAAAACAAAATTAATCTTAAACCACAAAACAAAACAGAACTCTGCATGTAAAACTGTCAAATAATTTAAATATGAGATTTCTTGCAAAAGTTTTTAAACTAGAAACGTTTGTAGCTAATTAATACAGACCTGGTGGCTTTATTGATCATTAACAAAAATATGGGAAACGAAGACGTGTTCGAGTACTTTAATAATTTATACCTCAGTTTTACCTTAATGGGTTGTCTATCACATGGGATGTAGCTGATTAATGTGAACAATGTTTCAAGGTAATGTTCACCAATTTATCAATTATCATCAAGCAAGAAAATATCTTTACAAGCTTACGCACCTTAAATTAAAGAAAAATTGGCATTTATGGCCTGTCGCAGAATTCGTTGAGTTCATCCCACAAATTGAT